CTTACCTTGTTGAATTCCTCATCAGCAATCAATATATTAACCTCACTTCTCTTTTAAATACCCTATTTCTTAGATTCTCTTTCCCTTCTATCTTTCTGCCTTCTCTTCTCCCCTCTAATCTTACACACATCCAAGACTCAGACCCTTACTACAAAACACTCTCCCAAAGATGAACTCACCCAGCCCAAAGGCCTTACATAACACCTTTATTGTTCATGACACCCAAGTTTTGCATTTAACCAAACAGCTCTCTTTCAGATTAATAACTTTATCTGGCAATCAATTCTACCTACACTTCTGTTAAGTTGCAGGTACTGCTAAGAGTTACAGATACAATTGTCTCACAGACTATTAAACTTAACATGACCAAAAGTTACTCTGGTTATCACAGTTATCACAAATTTTAATTATTCATTTATTGTACCTCCTTAATAAACAGTAGTAACAAATATGTTATGCTAACTAACATATACACAGTAACTACACAGGCACTTAGCTGATTTTAGATGCACTAGACTCTGACTCTACCCTCAAAAGAATGCACAGCCTAGTGGGAGGAGAGGATACAAAATCCACATATAACAGCAAGTACCAAGTGCAAAGAGGTGCTGCATAAATCCAGAAGAGAGGCCCTAACAGTCAAGGAAGACTTTAAGAGGTGGCTTTAGAGTTTATTTTTGCAGAGTAAGAATAACTCTTACCAACTGTAATTTTTATTTTTAAAATTTTATTTATTTTTATGTGCGTTGATGGTTTTGCCTGCATGTATGTCTGCATGAAGATGCCAGATCCCCTGGAACTGGAGTTACAGACAGTTGTGAGCTGCCATGTGAGAGCTGGGAATTGATTCTCTGGAAGATCAGCTAAGGTGCTTAATCACACTGAGCCATCTCTCCAGCCTTGTATTTTTTATTTTTTTATAAAATTACTTTTGAGCTTTATAATAAACTCTTCAGTGTTAATATAAATTATTTTTCATTTTATATATGAAACTTAGATTAACAAGCAAGTAACCAGTAATTACTAAAGTAAAGACTTTGTTTATCATAAAGAGTCACTAAAAATATAATCTTTCATACTGGCTTCCTACCATCTCTCTGACCTGAATAAAGCACTTGATTACAAAAGTTGGCCTCCACTTTGAGCATGGAGTTCAACTATCAATCCTGAAAACCTTTTCTATCTATTCCTTCTTTTCTTGTATTCACCAAGAATAAGACTCAAACTTTAGATTACTCAGTGTCATCCTTAGGCTTCTGGGCTACAGCATCTGAGCATTTTCTCAGTGTTTTAAGAATGCATCTAAGAACAATAAAAATAATACGGGGACATCACTATACAAAGTGTTTTCATACATTCATTGCTTCACTAGATCCTCATCAACTCTACAGGGTGTTATACTTCTGTTTTTACAGAAGTCAGTGACGTAAACACCTAGCCTATCTGGTCTTTGAACTCTATCTTGTGCCAGAAATTGAATTTAAGAAAGCAGGGAAGAAAAGGGGGAGAACGGGATCAAATAACTCAAAAAGGGTGCACAGCAGTGAGTCACTTAAAGGCCTGGAGCCAGAAATGAACAGGGACAAAGTCTGTTTCCTTCCACATGTTAATTTGTTTCTGTCTCAGTACTATCTATACTCTAGTCCCAAAGACAGAAAAAACAAGAAAATTCTTTATTCACAACATGGACATGTTGTCAGGGGATAACATGGTCAAAGCAAACTCATAGCACCATTAAAGAAGACGAGTTTATAATCCAGCCCTGCCACTGATTTGTTGAACCTTAGTCTCTGACACTGCATCATCATAGCTCCCTGTGCTTCCCTCTACACTGCTCACATGAGGATCCACCCACACCTTTAACCTGCAACTGAAGGCAGCAAATGAATCTGACTCCTACTTTTTTACCTAGCAATGAGCACCATAACTAACATGATGTTGATGACTGAAAAAAATTTCTTTTTAAATTACATCTATTTATTTATGCATGTATGTACTAGGGTAGTGGCGAGTGCATGCCATGGTTCATGTATCTAGGTAACTTGTAGGAGTTGGTCTTTTCTTCCACCATACCAGACCTGGGAATAGAACTCAGGTCATCATGCTTGGTGGCAAGTGCCCTTACCTGCTGAACCATCTCACCAGCCAGAAAGAACAATTAATAATGGATGGATGCCCCACTGAAATCTTTTGTATATGTACACACACACACACACACACACACACACTGCATATTCTAGATGGTGTCAATGAAACAATAACCCTGTCATTCTCATTTCTGTTTCCCCTCTTACTTTAGTACTTTAGGATACTGCCCAAGGAAAAACAATTACAGAGCAAAATAAGCCACTCCAAAGAGCCCTAAGTCAGAAGAGGAATTAACCTATATGGTCCCGTTACACATCCTATGCTTCCCTCCACAATCACCCTTAACCCCAAATGATACCTATCTCCATTTCAAAGCCCCTTCAAAAGAACACTCTCTTGCCCCAAGATTCCACCTTCTCCTCTTCCTCCTACTCTGCTATCCTGTCTCTGTCACACACACACACACACACACACACACACACACAGAGGTCAACCTTTCCTTCAAGTCAGCAGTACCTCGGGGGTGCCAACTGATAACTGGCTATCTCCCAGCTCCTCATCTAAATGACAGACTCTCTTACCTAGCTGTATTTGTACTTGTTCTCCAGCTCCAGCCTTCAAACTATTGACTTTCTATTGTGCCTTTTCCCTACTGCCCATGTTATGCCTTGGCGCAAGGAAAAAGATGGAGAATTAAACCAGGAAGAATGATTGCTTACTGGGAGGCACCAAAACACAGTCCGAGGGCAATCAGGAGAGAGCCTGGCATTTAAAGAAAATAGAGTTTAAGTGAAAACAAGAGAGCTAGAATGTTTGGACCTTACAAACATCACAACAAAGGTCCCTACAAACCAGCAACCTACTACCACTGAGAAAGTACAATCAAAAATTCTAAAAGAAAAAGAAAAGAAAGCCTAACCAAGAGGGAGAGGATGCAGGGGAGAAAAGAAAAAACAGAAAACAAAAACAACTGGTTATAGAGGGGAAGAGACAAGAAGTGGAAAGCATGAATACAAGGAAAGGAAGGAAGAAAAATGGTGAGGTAGGAGAACAGGTGAGGGGGCAGGCAAGGAAAAAATGACCAGGAGGAGGAGGAAGGAAAGGAAGGCTTGTCAGAAGAAATACACAGCTTTTTTGAAACTGAGATTAGAAAGCAAGCCCAAAATAATCAAGGTACATTAATATTTGTATTTCTTGGTGCCAAATAATAAAGGAAGGAATTACAGTGATTAAGGCATTATACAATCTCAAGGTCTGCAATTTACTTAGTAGATCAATAACAGTGCTCCTCAGAAGACAGCCTAGTTTATAGCAGTGGCCTAAGTATCAAAGAATTGGCCAGTTCAGGGAAAAATATTAACATACTTTCACCTGTTTCTTCTCAACCCCCACTGCCCTACAGCAACATACCTACACTGGCCCCTAAGAGAGAATCAGCATTTTCAACCTGTCTTGCCCTGAAGTCACTGGTTCTAATCAGACCAGCAAAATACACACAGAAGGCTGGCTCCTCTAGTCTGTATCTAGCTCACCTTTCCAAGGTAACCTGACAGCCTAGGAAACCCAGTTACAAACATTGTATACCCTTCTCTACAAATAAGGAAACTGAGGCTCACAGAGGCTGCCTAAACAGGAACAGCACCAGGGGTCTCCTTCTTCACTGCATCTCCTACCAGGGAGCAGTACCTTTGATCCTAGTAAACCTTCAGCTAAACCAAGGCACAGAAAGGCATCACCCAGGCCACTAAGCAGAAGCATGCTTACAAAGGAGGGCAGGGGGGGGGGCCTCATAGTTCCCCAAAAATCCAGCTTCCCCTGCTAACCTTTTCTAGCCAGATCTCTAATTCCAGCAAAGGCCTAGCCCTGAGTGGGCTTATTTCAAGGTTCCACCCTGAGGCCCTTCCCTCATTAAGAGTCCCTTAAGGTAAGTGGAATGTAATGCTCTTCCATTCTACCCCACAAAGCAGCAAGACTCCCCCTCGTCCTACCCTAGCTCAGCCTAGCTGTGCCAGGCCCAGGAATGGCCGGCATTACCTGGCAGGGAGTGCGGGGCCCAGCATCTCTGATGATCTTGTGTATCTGTCGCAGCGCCGCACCTCTCCCTGCTCAGCAGTTGCGACAAAGCCAGGGCTGAACCAGCCTGACAGGCTGGATTCGGCTGGGTACAGCAGAACAGCCACACAGCTCCAGAGGAGCAGCACACTCTGGCCCTCTCAGGGCGGCAGCAAAGACAGAGTGGTTCAGTGAAGGGGCGGGGAGGGAGGGAGGAACAGAGAAAGGGAGGGGAAGGGGGCGGGGAGCGCTCTCCCCGCCCTCTCCTTTCTGAAGAGGCGCTGAAGGGCGGGAAGCAGCTACATCCCCACCATTCTGGTTGTCTCTGCTGTTCTACCAACTCAGGCTCCAACAAGAGGTGCTAGGCAGGCTGTCTAGAGCTACCAAAGTCCCCTTGAGCCCCAGGATCAAGAAGAAAACCGGAGATCCTCTGTGCCTTAGTTCTGCAGCCTGGTATTGAGGAGTCTTTCCTAGACCTCCTCAAATCAGATTGAAGGTTCTTTCACACTAGGATGGAGAGGGGGAGATCTCTTAATATTGACTCTCAAAAAGTTTCCCTTATACCATCCTCTCCTTTGAACAAAGCTCAGCAATAGCTACCATTTGTTAAGAGCTATTTATTGTATGTGTCCCAGTACTTTACAAGCCTTATGGAGTAAGCACTACATCAATTCACAGGTGTCAGAATTGAGGTCCTAGAAGAATATGATCTCCGAATTTCTTAAGGACCTGCTAGATACTAGTCACTATGACAGAACTAGACCTGGACAACATATTAAAGAACCAACTCTGGACTGTCCCCTCCCAATAAAAGGTACCCCTAAAGGACTACAATGATTAAAAAAAAAAAAAAAAAGTACCTTCACATATTTCCAAGTGCTCCACAGGAGACAGTATCTCTCACCACTGGCTCCACTCATCCAACTCATCCCTTGCCTTTGAGGTTTATGACTGGAGTCAAGTTATGCAGATTATCTCTTCCAGGTCACAATTAATGAGTTTGGATGTTTTAAATTATTTACATCTCTTGTAATAAGATTGGAGGATAACTCATGGGAATCAGTTTTCTCCTCTACCATATGGGTCCCAGGGATCAATCTTGGGTTGTCAGGCTTGGTGGCAAGTGCCTTTACTCACTGAGCCATCTCACCTGCTCATAACTTTAGATTTTGCTCCAAGTTTCAGCAATGGAAGTGCTCTGAAAAAACAAAATGACAAAAGCTGACATTTTTAAAAGACCCCTGGTCAGTGGGAGAGAGTGAGGGCAAGAGCACATTAACAGAATCTCTTAGAGCTATAGGCAACAGAAAGAAGAAGATAGTACTAATTTATTATAATATCTAAGATGAAAAGAAGTAACACATTCTGAAGATACTGCTTGAAAGTAACACAGCAGACCAGGTATAAGACAGGAAGCAATGGATAAGAAAATACGGTGACTTCCCCAGCATCACACATCCAGTAAACAACACAATCATCTATATACCACGGTCTGGTTCCTAAGCCTGTTTCTTTTTAGTCCTCTCATTTATCTGTTTTGTTTATAACAGATCATTGTTGGTCATCTTCATACTAACTCCAGTAGCCCAGTCTTTACTGACTAGCATAGAGTATCCACTAGACCAGCATGAAACCCAACTCACTAAATATTCAGCCATCTTCCCTGACAAATGTTTGCACTTCCATTCAGTGTGCCCAAATTCATCTAATTGCAGAGAAAGAACTGTAAACAGAAAAAATTCAGCTCTTCCATTATTCACCCTTTCCAAATCCTGAGTATGTGCAGTATTTGAGGAGATAGGAATTTCTACATTAAAAAAAAAAAAAAATGGGGCTGGGCAGTGGTGGTGCATACCTCTAATCCCAGCACTCAGGAGACAAAGACAGGCAGATCTCTGTGAGTTCGAGGCCAGACTGATCTACAGAGTGATTCCAGAACAGGCTCCAAAGCTACAAAGAAATCCTGTCTCAAAAACCTAAAATAAAATAAACAATTGGGACCAGTAAAGTGGATCAGTGGGTAAAGGCACTTGCTGCCAAGACTGATGACCTGCGTGTTCTGATGGAAGCTTCACCCCAGTCCCTGGCATCCATATACCCAAAGGATCTGGAATGTTTTGGTGGAAAACCCCCTCCCCCACCTCTCCAAACTGCCCCATCTCAGAAAACCCATCAAATGATGACCCCTCCCCCAGAGATGTTCAAGACCACTCCCACAGGGTATTTACACTGTACACCAGAAAACATTGTTTCCCGGTCTCTCTTTTCTGTCTCCTCCCTGGGGGACTGGAAAACCAACCAGGAGAATTGTATCCATTAAATCTGGGCTTTTTCTAGTTTGGTTTGATTTGGTCTAATCTGGATTGCTATACTGGTGGAGAGGCTTATCAGGGTGCAGAAACTTTTCACAGAGTTCAATCCTTGGGACACAGGTTAAACACAAGTATCTCTTTCCCATGTTTTCCTCTGATCTCCACATGTATATCATGACATATGATACACTACACACACAAATAAATAAATGCAATAAAACTTTTTAGGTACTGTAGAAATGGTTCAGTAGTGTTGAGCACTTGTTGCTCTGATAGAGATCAGTCCTTGGCACCTACAAGGTGGCCCACAATCATCTGTAACTCCAGTTCCAGGAGATCTGACCCCCACCCCCACTTATGATCTCTTTGTTGTTGTTACATTTTTTGTTTGTTTGTTTAATTTGGTTTACTTTTGTGAAATAATGTATCAACCAGGCTGGTTTGGAACTCATTTATGGACCCTAGGAGGACCCTGAACTGATAACTCTGTCTCAGCCTCCTAAGTGCTGGAATTACATTAATGTAACCACTACTTAAGCTTAAAGTGGTTTTAAGATGGTCATTTACCTTCATACTCTGTCCATTCTAATTACAAAATGAATGACAGAAAAGGAGAGAAAAAGAAGGAAAGAATCTAGACACAGTCTTTATAGTTTTCACACACAATTCAAAATGGGTCATAGATCTAAATTCAAGACTATAAAATGTCTATAGTATAATACAGGAGAAAATCTTGATTGTAGTTTTGTTGTTGTTTTTTAACTCTTTGGGGGCCCACCACCCAAAATAAAATACACAGAGACTTACTCTTATTTATGAATGCCTGGTCTTAGCTTGGCTTGTTTCTAGCCAGCTTTTCTAA